AAAGAATTTTTCCGCTTAAATCACGATGTCAACCCTCCCCAAGTCGTTGATCTGGTGCTTGTAGGGCTTGAGAGATTTTTAGCAATACCAAACAACTCTAACATTTTCATGTTTTAGGGCTTGAGAGTGGCCTTCATTGTCACTTGAGGGACTATGGTTGCAGGAGAGTAGGAAGTTCCTACCAACCACCAACCATCACTTTAATTGAAAGAGTTCCTACCAACCACCAACCATCACTTTAATTGAAAGAGTATAGGACGATCTTGGTGTGAGGGATCTTGTAGATGTCCTCGGTTTTATTTATCTAATTCATTGCCCTTGGACGCCGACTTACCCACCGTCTCCCTCCTCCCTACCCACGCTGAGCATCTGCAGCTGCGTGGCCAGCGCAATCACCTGCGTCTCGCATCTTTGGAAGGCGCTGCTCGCGGGCACCCACAGCCCCTTTATGGTCTTCTGAAGCGCGACGATGCCCGCGAGGCTGTCGTGCGCGGCTCTCGCGGGCACAAGCCTCGCAAGGACCTCCTGCTCCGCGCCATCGCCAGCTGCCCTCGCCTCGGCGAGCTGCGCCTTGAGAGCTCGCACCTCCGCCTTCCTCTCGCCAAGCGCTGCGATGTTCTTGCGCAGGGTCGTCATCGCGGCCTTGCCCTCGCGCGGCGCGTCGTCAGCAACATGCGCCGCCTGCCCGGTTCTTGCCAGCTCATCGAGCCGCGTGCGGGCCGCAGCCAGTTCCGCCGCCACCTGCGCTCGCTTTGCGCCCACGTCCGTCGGCGCGGCGACCGCCGCCGACGTGCGCACGCTCGAGAGTCCTTGGCCAAAGCGCAGCGAGCAGATCGTCTCCTCTGCGTGCGCCTCCTCGCTGGCCACGTTGACCACGACGGCGGTGCACGACGGCCCGTCAAAGGAGGAGCGCAGTAGCATCGTCAGCGCCGAGTCGCGGTACGAGACGTGCGCAGACCGCTCGTTGAGCTCCTTCACCACCCTGCCGAGGGCCGTGAGCGATTGATTGATGCTGGCCGCTTCCTTTTGCCGCGGGCCCGCCGCCAAGCTCTTGGCGATGCGCTCAGAGCCCGCAAGGTCGACAAACAGCAGCGTGCGCTTCTGCGACCTGCCGCCTCTCTCCACGTGCGTGCACTGCACTCTAATCAGGCAGTGAGAGCGGGAGGATCGGTCGTTGAGCGCGTGGCTGTGCGCGACTCGCTCCGCCTCTACCAGACGCGCGAGCCTGGCGATGTCCGTCGGAGACTTGATCGGCCACTGCGTCTCGCCCTCCGTGCCGAACTCGTCGCCGCCCTTCCTCGAGGAGGACGCGCCCTGGCTCGCGGTCTTGCTAGCAGAAGCCGCGTGCCTCCTTGCCGCGGGGCCGACCAGCCCCTTTGTCTTTTGAAAGCAGTGGAAGCAGCTGCAGCCGCTCGGGTGCAAGCCGCCCACGATGACGGCGTGGCCCGACAGGACGGGCGCCTTGCCCATGTCCGCCACAACGATGGTGCCGCGCCCAGCGCCCCTCGCGGAGCCGACCTTGACCGGCTTGCGCGCATCGAGCAGGTCATACACGTGCTCCATGTAAATTTCGACAGCGCTCGCGTGGAAGGTCGCGCCGGCAAGCTCTGGCGCGGCGAGCAGCGCAATCATTGCGCGCGGAAATATGCCCCACAGAGCCGGCACGGCGCCAGCGGCCTGCTCGAGCGAGGCTTCGGTGAGCGAGCCGGGCGGGCCCAGCATGGTGTATGTCTTGCCGGAGCCCGTCTGACCGTACGCCATGAGGGTACACGCGATGCCGCCTTGAATGAATTTGCGCGTCAGCTCCGATAGCAGCGCGTCCACGGAGGCCTGCTCGGAGCCTGTGAGCACCGCCGCGGGAAACGCGAATGCGTTGCCACCGCATGTGACGCCGCCTCCCTCGGCTGGCGCGACGGCGGAGCCTCCTGGACGAATACGCACGCTCACGGCGACGGGGTGCTGCTGGCCGACGTTCTGAGAACGCTGGTTGGCAGCCATCGCCGCGGCGGCGGCGGCGAGCTCTTTCTGTGGCCGTGACGCGAAACGAAGTCCGTCCTCCCCCGCCCGCCCCATCCCGCCCCGCCCTCGCCACTCCCGTGGTTCTCTCACAAAATACGCACACAAAGAAATAACGTCGGGGCCCTCAGCTGAGCTGGGAATAGGACCGCCGCAAGCGGCGTGGCGTGGAGCGGTTCCAATCATCCGGCCCGCTGGGTGCGCTTCTGAGCTCCCTGGCCCTGGATGTGCGGTTGATGACTGCACTCCAAGTGCTCCAAGGTTGAGCATCCCTCCGGGGGCCGCCCCTCTGCGCCGGGGAGGCATTGTTGGAGGCTGGGACGCAAGCGTCCGTCGCCCTTTTCAAACTCGGGGCCCACTCCGCTACGCTCCGACCCGAATTTGGAGGGCCTAAAAGTTTAAGGTGTTGCTGCGCAAAAAGGGGAAAGGGGGTGGGACACAGGGCGCAGCTCATGCTAAGAGCTATAAGGGGAGTATCAGAGTTAGTTAGATAGAACAACCACCCTGTCCCGTTAGTGCGTGTACACAAACACCACAAAAGCTCTCTCTCTCTCCTGCTCCTCACTCAGGGGGGTCACAACTACCGAGTCAAAGAGGGAGAGTCGCCCTAGCTTCGGCTAGGGCTGACAAGCTGCCGAGCCCAAATAATCACTGTGAGAGTCGTGCAGGAGTCGTGATTTCTGGTTGGTTTTCAAATCTCTCTCTCTCTCTCTCTCGAGACTCGAGTCCCTAGTCTGCTGCCAGTGAATAAACAAGAATAAAACACACCCCCAAAAAGGGGTGGGAGAAGGACAGGGTCCCACCTGCACGATCGACCTGTCGGGAAATTCTTTTTTGCAGCGTCTCGGTGTCTCCAGACAAACACATGCTGTTCTGCTGCTGCCCCGGGCCTGCCGCACCCGCAGAGCCGGTCGCCGAGCTCAGCGCAGAGCTCGAGGCCGACCTCAGCGAGCGGGTTAAAGCGGAGCGTTTAGCCAAGGCCAAGTCCGCCGAGCAGGCGCAGTTCTCTCGCAAGCCGCGAGGCCGAGAACACGGCTTCGCCCAGATGCTGGACGAGGACGAGGACACCGCTGGCGACTGGGAGAGGGAGGCGTCCGCGTCGGTCGCCAAAGCCTCGGCGGAGGCCGCCAACACCGCGGGCGGCGCAGCGGCGGTCGCGGCGGCTTTGGGAGGCAGCGCGGGCGCGGCGGTGGGCGTGGCGCCGGTCGCGGCGCGCGCGGCGGGCGAGGCGCCCTCCGCGCCGCGACGGGCGCGCGAGCCCACGCACCTCGAGCGCGGCGCTCGGGCGTCGCACAGCGAGTTTGTCGAGTGCGATGAGCAGCTCGCGCGGCTCCGCCTCGAGGTGCGGCGGACCGGTGAGTCGTGATGTGTGCACCGAGTCTTGCGTGTAGGTACGAGGAGGAGCTGCGCGGCTCCGCCTCGAAGTGGGTGGCCGACCGGAAGAACGACGCGGGCTCGAAGGCGCGCAAGAAGAGGGGCTACCTCGGCAACACGCGGCAGCAGGCCGTGGCGATCTCCGGATCCCGTCTCCAGCGAGGAGACTCCAGCGAGGAGGAGTGCACAGACCTCAACTGTGTCACTCTTCCTTCAGGACGCGGCGATCCGGATCCTCTCCAACGAGGAGATCATGCGGCGCGCGCAGGTGGACTCAAGCCTCCGGGGTAGCTAGCAGCAAGGAGCACACACACTCACCCTCATCCGCACGCTCTGCACGGGGGGCGACCCCCTCTCGCGTTCCCCATCCCTCACCACGTGTCGTAAGCAACCTTCCAAGCGACGGGCGTCTGGAGACGTGTTGCCTGAAACAGGGACTGCCACTCCCCCTCCCCACCCAATCGCGCCTGCCCCTCCTCCCCAACTGCCCCTCGCGGGAGAACACCCCTCTGGCCAGGCCATATCTCGGGTATATCTCGCTCCATCTGGGCGGTGTGTCTCGCGCGCAGGTGGAGAACGTGCTGCAGGCGGGCGCGCCCATCGACCCGCAGTCGGGCGAGATCGTCCCGGCCAGGCTGCAGCAGTGGCTGGCAGGGCTGTCGACCTACATCGCCTTTTGCGACGGCGTCGTGCAGAAGGCGCTCTCGAGCTCTCCCCACGCGCGCCGGGCCTCGCCCTTTGGATGGCGTGTGCCACAGCTGCCGCCTGTCCGGGTGGAGATGAGAGGGCTGCCTGGCCCTTGCCCCACCTCCCTGTGAGCTGAGAAGCGTTCGCCGGACCTTACCGAGACCTCACCCTGCCTCAGGGCGCCACGAGGCTCGCGCTCATGCCTCCCGCCATGGCGGGGCCAGCCATCTCCATCTGCCTCTCGAGATGACCTGAGAGTTCACCCGAGATTACCCGAGAGTAGGCGGGGCCCATCTCCCTCTACCTCTCGGCCGTCGGGCGGCACCGGCTGCTCGGCGAAAGATGTAGCGAGATCCGGCGAGATCCGGCGAGATTCAGCGAGTGTGGCGAAGTTCCAGCGAGAGGTGTAGGGGAAGCCGGCGCCAGAGTACCCTCCCTCCAGGCGACAGCCTGGCTCCCTGGCTGGGCGCCCCCTCTCTCACGGCCCCGTGTGAAATAGGCGCGGAGCTCCAGTCGCGCCTCAAGGCCTTCCAAGTGACCCTGTACGCGCGCGCCGACAGGGCGGGCCCGGAGGGCATCTCGCAGTCGCTGTAGCGGTGCGCGCCACGACGCCGACCATGACGCCGACGCCGACGCGATATTACACAAGCGGACGAGTGTTTCACTCTGGAGTCTTCGTTTTGCATGCATGTGTAGCACTTTCGAGTTGAGAGACACAACGCAACATGGAGACCGGGCGGTGAGTACCAGGGCCAGAGAGCCTTGGATGGAGCACCAGGAGTGCGGTCATTGGTTGGCCTCACAGCCGGGACCGGGGAGCCACATCACATTTGCATAAGAAAGAGAGAGAGAAAGGAACTGGACAACCCAAGGGAGGGATGGTGTGCATGCGCGCGAGGCATCCCCGAAGGTTTTTCTTCACAGTGCATGCGCGCGAGGCATCCATGTCGGGACAATGCTGCAGCTCTGCTCCAGCGCATCCCTCGGACTCGGCCTCTCGCCCAACGCGTGCCTGCTACCGCACCACCCGATCAGCGGGCCCGCGCTCGTGGAGCCAGACGTCTTTGAGGAGGCGCTCACTCGCAGCAAGACAGACGACCCGCGGGGCGCTCTCCTACGGGCCCCGATGCGCAAGCCGACCGCAGAGGCGCCGTCGAGGCCAGGGCCTCGAAAGCGTCGCGCCTCCGCGCCTGTGAAAATGGTCGCCGACTCTCCTCTCTGCGACGCAGAGTGCGCCGCCGAGCTAGCGGCCAAGGCCAAGGCGATTGCAGAGGCGTCCGCTCCGGCACTCGAGTCCGCGGTTAGGGCGGCGCCTGCGGTGGCGGGCACGGCGGCGCAGGTGGCGGGCACCGCAGCGACGGGTCTCTTCAAGCTGGGCTGGAAGGGCGTCGAGGTCGCGGCTCCAGTTGTGGTCGAAGGCACAAAGGCGGCCATCCCGGTGGTGGCCGAGGGAGCCAAGGCGGCGTCGCGCGCGCTGGAGGACCCCGCCTCGCTGGACCTGGCGGGCACGCTCACGTCTGTGGAGCTTCCGACGGCGGGAGAGGTCGTCGAGGGGACCAGCGGCAACACCCTGCTTGGGCACGCTCCGTGGGTGGAGGCGATGCCTGAGCCCTCTCGGAACGCTGCTCTAGGCTTCCTCTCCTCCTCCTTTGGCGTGGCGCTCATTGACGCGGCGCCGTACGCCATCGGCGCAGCAGTGCTGCTCGCCGTCGCGCAGGCGGCGCTGGCGAGCCTTAAGGACGCGGCGGCGGCGGCGCTGCCGCCCATCGCGGCCACGGTTGCGGCCGGCTTGGGCGCCTACGCGGCGCTGCAGGCAGGTTTCGTTTCGCTGCCTGACCCGGCCGCCCTCGCCATCCCTGCCCTCGCCATCTGCGGAGGGTGCCTCGCCCTTGCCTCGCCGGCGGAGGCCGGGGCGGAGGCCGGGGCGGAGGCCGGGGCGGAGGCCGGGGCGGAGGCCGGGGCGGAGCCTGTGGCCAAGCCCGTAGATGCGGAGACCAAGGTGTGAGTCACGTCTTTCGCCTAGGAGCAACTACGTTGGTGTGCATGATGTGATGTGCATGTGGTATGTGCATGTGGAGCGCCGAAGGTACTGGGTTTTAGCACATGGTTGCGGTGTTGGTTCGGCGCTCCCGTCCCTAGCCGCCTTGGACCTTTGATGTTTTTGACCTTTTGCACGCCCTGCATCCCCCAAAAAACGCACATGGTCACAGCTAAGAAAGAAAGAAAAGAGACCCGCTCACCTTTTCTGTACGCGTGCGCCACGTGAGCCCGCAGCCCTGCTCGCTACTACCACGAAGTCGCCCATGCACCAGCACCTCAGGCCTCACGGGCGCCCGCCCGCCTGGCCGGAGCAGCCCCCACGCGTCGCCGCAAGGCCGCTCGAATTGGCCGCCTTCCGTCCACCTCAATGCTTGTTGCCCGCTCGTCCCCTCCCCCTCCCCCCGCTCACCTAATATTTTTTGTCACGGCGCTCCCTGTGTGTCAGTGGCGATGCTTTCGCTGTCCTCAATATGGCTGCTGGTAGCCAAGCCGCCACCGATCGGGAACCATTCGCCACCGCTTGCGCCAAACTACTCCCCTCCGCCCGCTCCGACGCCGCCTCTGCCTCCGCCGTCGCCTCTGCCTCCGTCGCCGTCCTCCCCACCGCCACCCTCCCCGCCACCGCCCTCGCCGCCGCCGCCCTCGCCCTCGCCGCCTCGGCTCGTCGAGTGCGGTGCGGTCGAGCTCCTCTCAAGCGCGTTGCCGCCCCCGCCGCCCCGGCGCGCGAGCAACAAGCCGCCCTCCCCCGCGTCCGCCACCGGCTCCGCGGCGTCACTGTGGTGCTGCTCGCGCGGCGGCGTTCACTGCGAGGTGGCGGGCGAGGGTTCTCCCTCTGGCGGCTGGTGGCGGAATGCGAGCGGCTGGATGCAGGGTCCCGCCCTCGCCGTCTCGTCGCTGCACCTCGTCGGCGCCGAGCTGGCGCGTGCCGCACTCTTGCCGCGTGCCGCACTCTGTCAGAGTCCGCGGCCCACGGAGCACACCTGCGTGCGCACGGGGGACCGTGCGTGCACACATGGATGCCACCTCCCCGCCGCCTCGTCCGCGCATGGTTGCGACGTCGGGCCTGTCCCCGGCCCCATCCCCGCCGTGGCGTCGCCCCACGTCTCAAAGAGGGGACGCGAGCCCTCTCTCTTCGTCACGCTGCGCCGGGCCTCAGTGGTCCCGTCCTCCCACCCCGCCGTTGCGTCTCCACCCCGCACGCCCCTCTCCGCAGGCGCCCGGCGTCCTCCCCGACGCGCTGGCGGAGCTGGCGGAGCTGCGTGAGTTGCGGCTCTCCGCGGCGGCACACCTGACAGGCACCCTCCCCGCCTCGGCGCTCCTCTCTCTGGCAGCGCTCGAGGTGCTCGAGCTCACTCGGGTGAACGTGTCGGGCACCCTCCCCGCCGGCCTCCTCGCCTCCCTCCCCCTCCTCGACGATCTCGCCCTCTCCGGCACCCGCCTCAGCGGCTGCCTCGCGGTCCGGCCACTTCTTCATGTACGGCGGCGACGCATTTCTTCTTTAGGCACCCGCCTCAGCGGCACGCTTCCCCTCTCTGTCGGGGAGGCCGGCTCGGCGCTCGAGGAGCTGACGCTGCGAGGCGCGCCTCTTGGCCGCACCGCAAAAGTCCTTCTTGTTTGCACGCCAGCCGCTGTTCGCTTTTAGGCACACCTCTGAGCGGCACGCTGCCGCGCCAGCTTGGCGACCTCCGCGCCTCCGCTCGATCCATCCTCGTGATCCCATCTCAGCCTCAGTCATGTCGGCACCGCAGGTGATCTGCGCCACCTCGAGGCGCTCGACTTGTCGCTCACGCGCGTCAGCGGCACCCTCGCCACCCCCCCCCCCCTCCCCACCCTGCCAGCTCGGCCGCATCTCTCTGCCTTGCGGTCGCCTGGCATCTCTCTGCGGCCTATAATACTCTGAGAGTGCAACGTACTGCAGGCACCCTCCCCCTCCAGCTCGGCCGCATCTCCGACCTCGAGCTCCTTCACCTCTCCAGCGCGGCCATCTCCGGCACTCTGCCCGCCGAGCTCTTCACAGCCCTCGGCCCCACGCCGGTGGAGCTCGTCGTGCGCCGCGTGTTTCTGTTTCACGCCGCGGGTGGCGTTCCCTGGCGTTAGGCCCCGCGCTGGTCGAGCTCGACCTCTCCCTCACGCTACTCAGCGGCTCGCTGCCGGCGAGCATCTCTCTCCGCCCCACCGTGTTCCCTTTAAGGTTGGGGGCTCTCCTCTTTTAGGCTCGCTGCCGGCGAGCATCTCCGCCGCGACGGCGCTGCAGCTTTGCTATCTGCCGCAGGACCGGCTGCGCTGCCCGCTGCCGCCGCTGCCGCAGCAGTGCGCGCTCGGCAAAGACGGCGGGCGGCTGTTTTGCGAGCTGCGTCTCGGGAACGACCACTACGGCGTCAACGTGAGCGAGCGAGTTCTCGACACCCTCCTCACCACCGCCGCCGTGCTGTGCTCGCTCGCGGCCGTCGCCGCGCTGGCCGCAAAGACTCGCCGGTGGCGCAGGCGGCGGGCGGAGCGGAGGCGCGTGCGCAAGGAGCGGCGGCAGGTGGGCAAGGAGCTCGCATCTCGGGGTCATCTCGGGGTCATCTCGGGCCATCTCGGGCCATCTCGGGTCATCTCGGGTCATCTCGGCAGGTGGGCAAGGAGCTCGCATCTCGGGGTCATCTCGGGCCATCTCGGGCCATCTCGGGTCATCTCGGGTCATTTCGGCAGGTGGACACGGAGCTCGCCTCCATCTTCGACAGCCGCGCAGAGGCGTTCGACACGCTCGAGATGCGCGAGGCGGCGAGGCGGCGCGCCGAGGCGACGCTCGTCCGCGACGCGGGCGCCGAGCTCTCTCGGCACTTGCTTGCGGGGGTACTTCTTTGTTTGTGGCACCCCGTCTTTCTTTCTTAGGCGCCATACTCGGCACCTTCGCGTCGGTGCGCGCTAGGGTCGCCCCAGGGCGCGCCTACGCCTCGCTCGCTGGCGGAGGCGGCGAGCAGCGGGGACATGACGAGGCGAACGATGAGATGATCCTGAGATGATCCGAGACGTTCCGAGGTTAGGCGGCGAGCAGCAAGGAGACGAGGCGGCGTCCGAGGACGCGACCCGAGCCAGTCCGGCGGGCGGCCTCGTCGGGCGGCACGTGCAAGCGCGGCTGACCGGTGGGAGGGTGGTGAGCGGCGTGGTGACACGGCAGGTGTGCACCGCTCCCCGCACACACACACGCCGTGCCGCACACGCGCCGGGGCGAGCACTTGTCAACGCCGCGCGCGCTCCACTGTGGACGCGAAGGGCCCGAGGGCTGCCTGGCCGTGGACCCTACCCCCCCGCCCCCCTTGCGTGTGTGGAGACGGCTACCTCGCCTCCCTTGCTTCCCCAGGTGGGCGGGCGAGTGCGCGTCGAGTCCGTGCCACGGCCGTCCTCGCCCGTGCTTGACCGGCCGCCCTCGTGCTGGGCCGACGAGGGGGACGCGACGCCGATCGGGGAGGCTGAAGCCATCCTGATGCGCGCGACGCGTGGGGTAGCATCCACGAGGCAAGAGGGCGACGAGGAGAGGATGTTTCCGGACCGGAGGCTCAACCGGCCAAGTGGGCCGCCGCCCATGCCGCCGCCGCTGCCCTCGGTCGTGCCCTCGGTCATGCCCTCGGCGCCGCCTTCGAGGTCCTCGGGAGCGATCTCCCTCCCCGAGTGGGCGTTGGCAGCGCCCTTGCCCGAGGGCGAGCCCGAGGAGGCTGTGCTGCCGCCGCCGCCACCGGGCGGGCCAATCTCCCTGCCTGACGGGGCAGAAGCAGCCACCCATTCCTGGGTTGCGGTGAAGGCGGAGGCGGAGGCGGCGGCGGGGGCGGCGGCGGAGCAGGTGGTGGCGGCCGATGCGGCGAGGGTGGCGGCGGAGCAGGCGGCGGCCGCAGAGAAGGCCCACCTCGAGGAGCAGGCTGCTGCCGAGGCGGCTGCGGCAGAGGCGGCTGACGCAGAGGCGGCTGTGGCAGAGGCGGAGGCTGCTGTTTTGGAGGAGGCCGCCCGAGCCGAGGCTGAGAAAGCGGCGCAGGAGGAGGCTGCAAGGGTGGCGGCTGAGGAGGCGGCGAAGGAGGCGGAGAGGGCGGCGGAGGCGGAGGCTGCTGCGGCGGCAGAGGCAGAGACTGCTGCGGCGGCGGCGGCGGAGGCTGCTGCGGCGGCAGAGGCAGAGACTGCTGCGGCGGCGGCGGCGGAGGCTGCTGCGGCGGCAGAGGCGGAGACTGCTGCGGCGGCGGCGGCGGAGGCTGCTGCGGCGGCAGAGCCGGAGGCTGCTGCGGCGGCGGAGCGTCTTCGCCTGGAGGACGCTGCGACATCCCCCTTGCCTGAGAGCGACGGCGAGGGCGAGCCCGAGCCGGCTTTTTTACCGCCGCCGCCACGACCGGACGGGGGGGACCAGCGGAGCCACCCTGCCCGAGCGCGTGGCGGGAGTGTGGTGTGACTGCGCCGCTCGCCAGCGCTGCTGTTGAGCGCCAGCTGCTGCTCCCTTCAGCCAGACGGCCGGGCCTGCGCAGCACGACCGCTGGCCTTCCTCCTGCCCCACAGGAGCGCGCCGAGGCGCGCGTCTGGGCAAGCAGTGCGTCTCATCGCGATGTGAGAGTCGACGCTGTGACGCCGCCGCTCGCCGGCTAGAATGACAGTGGCAGCATTCGAGTACGCGTCGAGCTGTGCGTACCAGCACTTGTATGCGAGCTTATTGTCCCTACGGCTTTTAGTTGGATCCCCCGCCTGGGCGGGGTCCCCACCACACCTTGTGTGTGTGACTTGCACACCGAAGCAGAGTTCTGCTCGAGCAGAGAGAGCCACCCCCTCTACTCGGAGCTAGTGGACACGGACGCGACACCACACGTCACGTACGCACATACACGACTGCCTAATGAGTAATGTGTACTTTGCCCGGCTCCCCAGGGCCCCGTCCCCCGCCCTCAGGGTGAATGAACCTTCGGTCTGGTTCGGTCTCTTTCTTGTAAAGAAAGAAAAGAAAGAAAATGGACAAGCCAAAGGAGGGATGGGAGGACGGCGTTGGAGCACTTGGAGTGCAGTCGGTATGTATGTATGTAGGAAGGCGAAGAACAGTCGGTCACCTCACATCCCGGGCCAGACCGGCGGCCGCCACTCTTGTTTTGACCGCGCAAGATAAAAAAAAGGGTGGCTAAGGGCTCTGCCCGCAAGGCGCCCGCGTCGCAGACGCGGTACCATTGACAAATCTGCGATATCCCCCCACACGAGCAAATAGCCAAAATCCGAATACCGTGCACGAATCCGGCGATGTCGGCCGTGCAAGCCTTCAGCTGGTGCCAAGACTTTCGTAAAATTGAAGCCAAGAATCCGCCAAATCCGTGCTTTTCGCGCTACCTGAGGGGAAAGCCGCTGATCGAGCCCAGCGTGCCCGCGGCCGCCTCCCGCGCAGCACCGCCGCTGCGGAATCGGATCGATCCCATGGAGGAGGAGGGCGCAGTCGGCCAGCGCAGCAGGCGGAGTCCCTCCCCGCGCCGGAGCCCCCTGCAGTCGAGGGAGTCCTCGTTGGCGATGAAGGTGGCGACATCGAATCGGGGCCGACACACGTCACGGGAGGAATGGGCGATGAGCGGGAACGATGCGCGCTACGACGCCGACTCCGCCGTGCTCGTGGCCGCAGAAAGCCGCGCTCCAGGAGCACGCCAAGATGCAATGGCTTGCTTGCTTCGATTCAGCTCTCTCGGCAGCAGAAGTGGGGCTGGAGCGGGTGGGGGTGGATGCCGATTGAGGGGGAGCGTCTCCAGCTGCGCCCTGTGGCAGCTGCGCCCTGTGGCAGCTAGTCGAGGGACTTGGTAGTTGTGACCCCCCTGAGTGAGGACAGGAGAGAGAGAGCGTTTTGTGGTGTTTGTTGGTGTATGTGATCTGTGATCTGTAAGGGTCCGCCCGCAGGCGCATTTTGTATACCGAGGCGGTGCCCGGTGCCGAGCGTAGGCAGAGCCCACAGGTCGGACCTTGAGACAGCGTTGTAGATCCCTGGGCGAGGGTGGTGGTGTCCCCGTCGGGAGGGGGCTGTCGCAGTGGTGAGGTCTACCGTCACCCCGCCAGCGGCCCGGCGGGTTCGGCTTAGGCCTCCTCTGTTATTGCAACAGCCCCGTCGGAGGTAGACCGCTCGTCTAGCCGATCAGCCTTAAGCGAGCGGTCTGGCCGTTGGAATGGCCGAGTTTGGTGGACTTGCGTCCTCGCATCGGATCGTGATTACAAGCATTGTTTATACAATTCGACCACGAACTCTGACCGTCAGCTGGCCACTCCGGGGCGAGGGATATTCTTAGTAAGCCGGCATGCTGTGCATGCGCGACCGTTCAGAAACCCTCCCTCACCCATCTTCCTCCCACGATTCTCTCTCGGCGCGGTGTCTCTTGGAGGATGCCCTCCGGGCTCCTGACTGCCTTGGCGCTCCCTCCATTCGTTTGCGGCGTCGCATCTTTTGTTTCGGCGTCGTCGACTCCCCGTCCACTGTGTGCAGTTGGCTCGCCCCCTCTCCCTGGTGTATGTACTGGTGTATGTACGCAATAACGGGACAGGGTGCTTGTTCTCTCTATCTCCTCTTCTGGCTCTTAGCATGAGCTGCGCCCGGTGTCCGACCCCTTTTGCGCAGCAACACCTTAAACTTTTAGGCCCTCCAAATTCGGGTCGGAGCGTAGCGGAGTGGGCCCCGAGTTTGAAAAGGGCGACGGACGCTTGCGTCCTAGCCTCCAACAACGCCTCCCCGGCGCAGAGGGGCCCCCGGAGGGATGCACAACCGCTCCACGCCACGCCGCTTGCGGCGGTCCTCTTCCCAGCTCCGCTGAGGGCCCGTGCGTTATTTCTGGCTCATCCATGACGCACAACAAGTGCGACGCCCTCCCCGCGCGCGCCTCCTCCCCGCGCGGTTCGAGCCTCGCGCCGCGCGGCTCGGCCGGCGCGGCTCGGCCGCCGCCGAGCCGCGCGCCGCGCCGGCGCCGTGGCAGCCGCCGACGCGTGCGCCGTCGCGCCGCGCAGGTACTTCTTCTCCGGCCGGCTCGAGGCGGTGCGCCAGGACCCGGCGGGCGGGAACCGGACGCAGGAGTACGCCGAGCCCAACGAGGAGGGCCCGCACGAGGCCGACGTCGTCCCGCTCGTCAAGATTGCCGACCCAGTGCACGGCGCTCCTGCGTTCAACATCAACCCAATGTTGCTCGAGGGCATCCGGATGGGCGATCGGTTCTGGGAGCTCGCCAAGCTCACCACGTTTGGGGAGGTCGTCGACGCCATCTTCTACGAGGTCAAGTACGTTACCCCGTGGGTGCCAGGCACGCACGGCAAGCGCTCCAGCGGCATGCAGAGCGCCGTGCGCGGCGTGTCGAACGCGGGCACGCCCGGCATCGCCTACACCATGCTGCTCAAGCTCTTCCTGCTGCGGCTCACCCGCGACCAGGTGCGGTCGCTGCTGCGCCACCCGGACTCGCCCTACATCCGCGCAATCGGCTTCCTCTACCTGCGGCTCGGGCTGTACGACTTCAAGGAGCTCTGGGCGTGGTTCCAGCCGTACCTCGGCGACGACGACCAGTTCTTCATCGACGGCACCCCCGCCACCGCCACCACCATCGGCGAGTTTGTGCGCCGGCTGATGACTGACCAGGCCCCCCTCGCGGCTCGCGGCCACAGCAAGAAGCGCCGGCCCGCCGAATAAAGAAGAGTTGTGCGAACAGGACTTCTTCGGCGACCGGCTGCCGCGGCTCCCCGTCCTCGTGTCGCGCCAGATCGAGGACAAGCTGCAGAAGGCCGCGTCGGGCGTCACGGACGAGCCGCCGACGGAGGCGGGCGGCGGCGGCGGCGGCAGCGGTGGCGGCCCCCGACTCGCGCGCGCCCCTTCCCGGCGGCGCGTCTCTCTTCACGCCGTCCCGCTGCGAATAGGGTGGGGCCCGGAGGACGCGGAGCGGCTGAAGCGCAAGCGGGCGGAGCTGGCCGAGGCGGAGGGCAAGGTGCGCTCGCTGCGCAAGCTGCTGAGCGAGCGGGAAGCGCAGGCGGCGAGGCGGTAGCGGAAGAGCGGGGAGAGAGTGGGATGGCGGTTGTGAGAGCAAGTTTGAGGCCCAGCCCAGTCTTTGGTATCCTCTTTGGGGTTGATCAGAGGAAGGTAACATACATCGAGATCTCTGCGGGACACCAGTAGATTTGTTGAGTGGAGATCGTAGATGCCGATCAGAGATCTTCCACACACAGCATCTCTCACAAAACTCAGAGATCTTTAACTGAAGATAGAGAAGATCTTGTTCTTCATCTTGAGCTGCCGCCATCGGCACCTCGAGATCTCAGGCCGGAGACGGAGATGTTGACTTCGCGCCAAAGGCGCCTCGAGAATCGTGTGGCCGACTCGGGAGATTGCAAAATGGCGCGAAAAGGGTGGAGATCCGCTTGAAGGTGTGAAAGGAAAAGAGCACCCTTGGAAGGACGTCGATCCCCCCCCTGACACGCCTCCCCCACGAGATTGGAGATTGGAGATCGGAGAAGAAGATCGGAGAACGCGTCTCCTTGTTAAATGAGCGCGCCGCGATGGAGCTCACCTCGTTAGTCTCTGGCATGACCGAGTTCGCCGCGAACCTGTATCCTCTAAAGACCGAGGAGGAGCTCGTGGCGCTCCTGAGCGGCATGCACCACTTCCCACCTGGCGTGCCTGAGCGTGCCCGTCGCGTCCATGAGCGGCTGCCCGCCGGGTCGGCGCTCCACTGACGTCGGCGTGCTGATTGACCGGCTCGACACGGAGGGAGGCCTTGACGGGTTGTACAAGCATCTCGCGCACACCAAGGAGGACCCTCTACATTTCGTTCCGAGCACCAACACGGAGGCCGCGGAGCAGGCGTGTCGAGCCGCCCTCTCGCCCTGCACGCGTTGCCCCCTTGTACATGTACATGTTGTTGTACATGTACAACATGCACTCAAATCCGCCTGATAGGCCTTCGTCTTTCTCGCTCGCTCGAAGCACATCTTCCGCCACAACGTCCTCCCCCCCCCTCCCTCCTCCCCCCCCCTCCCTCCTCTCCCCCCCTCCCCCCTCCCCCCCCCCCCTCCCCCACACAAAATTATTTTTGATGGCAGCGCGAACCACACGATAACGGTTTTCAACGCGGAGCGTACCATGTTATGAAACAAACGCAAGGCGGACATGGCATATCGCTCTCGGGCCCACAGACATCCCGCACACCCGCCGCCCCCCGCGGGCGCGCGCCCCACCCCGGCCGGGAGAAAGGGGAGTGACAGCTTGGGATGGCAACAGAACGAGTATCTTGCACTCCATGACCATGTGCAAGAACGCAGAGAGAAATGAAAGCCGTTCGGCTCACAAGTCCGGCTCACGCGCCCCTTTCTCCCCCCCTCTCCCGCACTGAACACGTTCGCCCCATCGCTCCCAACCCATCCTCGGGCCGCGCCGCGCGATCTCGGGCGATCTCGCGCTATCTCGGGCGATCTCGGGCGATCTCGCGCTATCTCGGGCGATCTCGGAGCGTCGCTCGCGCGGCGGCACACCTGCTCAAAAAAGGAAGGGCCCGGTGCCCTGTGCGCCACTTTTGTCAACCTTCTGTGTCGAAACGGCGTCTACAAGCCGGTCTGCTTGCGAGCGTGCACTGCTCCTGGCAGCCCAATGGCCGGTTCTTCCACGGAGATCTTGGAGAGCAACTCGTCTCCGGACCCCGCGATCTTCGGCGATGCCCTGCTGCGCGACATGGCCAAGCTCTGGATCCGGACGCTCGACGGGAGGAGCGGCCAGCGCCGCCGGCCCTCGCCAGCACTGCTAGCCGCCGCCCGCCAGTGGCAGACGTCTCAGGAGCAGCAGCGGCGGCGGCGGCAGCAGCAGCAGCAGCAGCAGCGCCGGCCGGCGCCGGACCCGGCCGCTCCGCCGCCTGCGCATGCCGAGAACCCACGCTGCTGGCACAAGTGCTCGCTCGGCGGGGAGATCCGAGTGCTCGCTCTCTCTACCGAGGCGGGCTTCGCCGAGGTGCACGCGGCGGCCTGCGCCAAGTTTGGCGTCAGCGAGGACTGGCGACTGCTCTGCCGCGACGCCGCCGACGCCGACGACGAGCGCGGGGCTGACCCTCCGCTCATCACGCTCCTGAGTGACGACGACCTTGCCTATGCAAGGCACCGGCAGCCGTCCCTCTTCTTCGAGCTGGCGCCGCCGCGCGATTCGCTCTGCTCGCTGGTCGACGTGAGCCGCATGAGCCGCGCTAGCTCGAGCGCGCTCGACACCAGCTCCCTCGGCCTGTCCACACTCGACGAGGACGCGCGCACGCCCTCCGCCTCTGGCGCGCCATCCGCGCTCAGCCCGACGCCGCTCCTGGGCGCGGCCGACCTCGAGAATGACGAATCTCTCGTCACGGCCTTCTCCGCGCTGCTCCAGCGCGCGCTCTCGCAGGCCGTGGAGACGATGCCGCCACCCGCAGCGCCCGCCGCGCCGCCGGCCGCGGCGGCGCCGCCACCGGCCGTGCCCCCACCCGCGCCGCCGCCGCCGCCGCTGGCACCGCCGCCGCTGCCGCCGCCGCCGCCACCGCCGCCACCGCCGCCGCCCGCTATCGAGGCTCCCATTGCCGCCGCTGTCGCCTTGCCAAGGCCCCAGTCGCCCCCTGCCCCGCCGCCACCGCCGCGGCCTCTTGCTGCGCGTGATGCCCCGGCGCGAAGGTCGACCGGGCCTCTGTATATCGGTGCGGCAGCGCCAGAGGCGCCGACGCGCAAGGCCCGGCAGCCCAAGGTGGTTCAGGGTGGGATCGAGGCTGCCTTTCGCAAACGGCAGAACCTGCGGCTGCGTGACGCGCGCGATCGCGTGATCGAGCTTTTGCGGTGCGGCGCCGACCGCGCAGGGCTGTCAGTGGCCGGGCGAGATCGGACGCGGCGGTGCGAATAGGCGAGCCAACCTGGAGCCGCTTGGCAGCTCGGACGCGCTCGTAGCCCTCTTTCGCGACGTATCCGGCGAGCTCGCGGCGCTTGGCCTCGCGCTGGGCGCTTCCGAGGCGTGGGCAGACCGTCTCTACATCGAGGACCGGCGGGGCGCGTTGCCCGCTCGAGCGTCATCTACCGCACCTCGTCATTCTACCGCTATTCACACCTCTCCCCTGCCTCCAGGGGCGCTGCTCTTCTCGGAGGAGGAGCTTGATGAGGCGGAGGCGGCACAGTCACGGCTCGAGGCAATGTACAACGTCGACGCGTGGTCATCGCAGCTCAAAGGTGCCTCCCCCCCATCCCTTTCTTGCCAACCTCCCCACCTTGATGAGAGCAGCGCACTCTCACCGGGAGGCGTCCTGAAATGGACTACTCGCGGTGCGCAGGGCGTCTCTCGTCGGCCGAGCTGTTGCTACAAGAGACTGCGCCGGACTCGCCGCGCGAAGGCAGGTCGACTCCACGAGGCAGCCGCGGCGGCTCCGGCGCCGCTCGTGGCGGAGGGACCATGACGAGTGAGGAGCGAGTCAAGCGCGCCCTCAAGCGTCTCGAAGAGGATGTGCCGTACCACGTCGCCCTCTTTGCCGAGCCCGTCTCCCTTCGCACGTTGGACGCCATCGACGCGATGGGGCAGCCCACCCCAAATAATAAATAATAAATAAAACGGACACCTCTACTGTGAGATGGGTAAAAAGGAACAGGTCCCCGCCCTTGCAGCCCGCCCCAGCGCCGTTGGTGCCCCCTCCTTTCGCGGCGACCGAGGCCCACCTCTCCTCCGTAGGCTGCCGAATGAGCTGCGGCAGCTCGGCGAGCGGCTGCTGGTCGCCCTCTCGAGGAGATTCGGTCCCTAGACCCTGCCACGGCGGTGAGAGGGAGGGAACGCGCACGTCCCTCTCCCTTGTTGCTCCCCTCCAGGCTGCTTCGGCTTGTGGCGAACACGCTGCGGGGAATGTCGACCGCCGCCTCCGCTCAGAAGATCAAGGCTATGCGCACCGCTGCTGCGTTAAAGGTGCGCCGCCGCCGCCGCCGCGCTGTGTCCACGTGCCAGGGCCCACGCAGCACCCCCTGTCGGCAGGTACGCGCACACATCGAAAAGGGACACCGCGCCGCGCTGGCGCTTGAAGCTAGTGGCGCTGAGGTTGCGGAGGCGAGGGCCGAGTTTGAGTCGGTGGACGCGTCGCTCGAGCCCCACATCCCGGCGCGCGGCGTGGGAGGGGCAGAGTCAGACGACGACGACGACGACTACTACTGACGTTTTTCTCGTTCGAACGCCCGGCTGGTTGGTGGCAGGTTCTTCGTTAGTTGCTGTGTACCGCCGAGGATATCGCTTCCGCGGGATGGTGGCCACGAGAGCCACTCGGTCGAGGCGGGAGGTTGCAACGTGTTCCGGCAAGCTAGTAGCTAATGGGTCGGAGGGGGAGGGGGCGGGGGGGGAGGAGAATGATGTACGCAAGTGACGTCTCCGTGAATCGTAAGCGACCCGTGGTCCATCTGGCCCGCCAAATGTGCCGATTTTCGCGGGCGAAAAGTCGGGAAAGTAACGGAAAGAACAAAGATTACACTATTCACAACCTTCTCATTGAAATATTGAGTTTACCAAGCTGCAGAAACGAGCTTTTAGTGCTTATGAGCATAAGCACTGGATTCTCATGCGCGCGGAGCGCGCCGGTGCTCTACCCGGACACGCGCGGAGCGCGCTAGCTGGACACCGCACACGCGGAGCGCGCTAGCTAGACACACACGCGCGGAGCGCGCTGGCTAGATACCGCGCGGAGCGCGCTGGCACCTATGTGCGCGGAGCGCACCGCGGTAGAGTCTAGACACATGAAGACAGTCTGTTGCAGTCAGTTGTGGCCACGCGGCTTCGGCCTGACGTTGTAGCACTCGGCTGGCAGACGCTGTGTCTCTGCCTTCTTCCGCGTCATGACCAGACCCCGCTGCAGCGAAGCTCCAATGCCGCCCCTCTGTGCACGTGACCTGTCGTTGTGGTGAAAGCGGTCTTCCCAGTTGAGCCCGCCCCACAGTTCTCGAGCGCACGGTTGATGAAGGGCACGGCGACGGGATGGTACGGCTAGGGCGCGTTCCACGCGATCACAGCCTCCTCAGTTGCAGTGACCCAGTTGCCCTGGCGGTCGCAGCGGTCCCACACACCGCCCATGCCCTGAGCGCGCCGCTGCAGAACACGCGCGGAGCGCGCCGCTGCATGGGTAGGCGCGGAGCGCCGCCACTCGAGATTGGGCCTGTGGGTGGGCCGATTGGTTCCTGCGTGTGAGTCAAACTCTTAATAGAAATCGCATCTAGCCCTCCACAACCCTCAAAATTTTCCTCGGGGCGCGCTCCGCGCGCGGCGCTCCGCGCCTACTCCTTGAGCGTCATAGCTGGTTCGCACATGTTCTGCAGCTTGGTTGAGTTAGGGGGGGGGGGGGGGCGTTTGACTGAACTTCACGTGGCCGGCCGGGGCACACTCATCGACTTGGGCTAATTTGCACCAGCGTGCCTCTCTAGTCCCGCCTGCCACCCTGATACCGAGGGCGGGGCGCAATCTTCGACTTGGGCTATTATCTGGCCTCGGGAGGGCGGCGGCGGCGGTGTAGGGGCGGCGGCGAGCTCCCGGTGGCAAATACTCGCCTCACAGTCCAAGATGGCGGCTCGCGCCCCCAACTGTGCTCTGGCGTGCCTCTCTAGTCCCGCCTGCCACCCAGATACCGAGGGCGGGGCGCAATCTTCGACTTGGGCTATTATCTGGCCCCGGGAGGGCGGCGGCGGCGGTGTAGGGGCGGCGGCGAGCTCCCGGTGGCAAATACTCGCCTCACAGTCCAAGATGGCGGCTCGCGCCCCCGGCCGTGCTCTGGCGTGCCTCTCTAGTCCCGCCTGCCACCCAGATACCGAGGGCGGGGCGCAATCTTTGACTTGGGCTATTATCTGGCCCCGGGAGGGCGGCGGCGGCGGTGTAGGGGCGGCGGCGAGCTCCCGGTGGCAAATACTCGCCTCACAGTCCAAGATGGCGGCTCGCGCCCCCGGCCGTGCTCTGGCGTGCCTCTCTAGTCCTGCCTGCCACCCAGATACCGAGGGCGGGGCGCAATCTTCGACTTGGGCTATTATCTGGCCCCGGGAGGGCCGCCGCGGCGGTGTAGGGGCGGCGGCGAGCTCCCGGTGGTAAATACTCGCCTCACAGTCCAAGATGGCGGCTCGCGCCCCCGGCCGTGCTCTGGCGTGCCTCTCTAGTCCCGCCTGCCACCCTGATACCGAGGGCGGGGCGCAATCTTCGACTTGGGCTATTATCTGGCCTCGGGAGGGCGGCGGTGGCGGTGTAGGGGCGGCGGCGAGCTCCCGCGGTGGCAAATACTCGCCTCACAGTCCAAGATGGCGGCTCGCGCCCCCGGCCGTGCTCTGATGTGTCGCTTGGGTCGCCTCTGCTGCCTGTGTCTCTATCTTAGCCAGATATCGAGAGCGCGCGACGACAACCAACCCTAACCCTAACCCTAACCCTAACCCGACGAACCCAAAGCATTCACCGAGAGCTCGTGTCGACAGACCGCTGATTCCTCCATTTGGTTTCGGCCCAAACCGGACCATTCTCTTAGGAGCTGCACAACGCGCGGCTTGAACTCTCTGACTTACCCTGATATCCTCTAACCCTAACCCTAACTAACCCGAACCCGAACCCTAACCCTAACCCTGACCCTAACGACACGGTGCTCCTCAAGAGGTCATGCGCGTCGCTGCCGACGCATCTCGCGTGTTGGTGTTGATTTCGGCGGGGGCGTGACCTCCATATAGGCGCTCGATACCCCCTCTCTCTCGCTGCCTACTCGCTCGCTGCCTCTGGGGAGGAGGGGATTACGTAGGGCGCGCGCCACTGCCGCGCGCCACTGCGCTCGCCTTTCCCGAGGCCCCTCCCCGAAATACAAAGAAAGAATTCTACATTCAAGCCCCTCTCTCAGATGGCACGGAGTAAAAAAAGAAAGAAAGAAAAAGCTAACAAAGACACGCTCTCACTCGGCGGCTCCCTTCCTGTTGGCCCAGTCCTCTGGTGAGTCCTCGGCCTCGACCGCACCTGCATCCTCCCGCGTCGGTGCAAAGCACGCGCTCTCCGGCGGCTGCGCGGCGACGCGAGCTCGGCTTGCACGATCGCCCGCCATGACGCTGGCAAACTCGCTCGTTCTTACGCTGCTGGCGGCGGTTTGCTCCTCCTCGGCGCGCCTCGTACCGCTCGCGCTCCTCCTGCTGGCGGATCGCTGCGAGGCGTACGGCACGATCTGCGACAACAGCGTGAGCTGCTCCTCTGGATGCCCCACCGGCGTGTATGGCGCGTCGCTGTGCGACGGCACCTACACGGGCACCGAGGTGGATCTGAACAGCCAAGGGCTGTCGGGGACGATCCCTCCGCAGCTGGGCGACATCTCGCAGCTGGAGTACCTTAGTCTGAGCCGCAACTCCATCTCGGGCACCATCCCTCCGGAGACGAGCAAGCTCACGAAGCTGAAGAATCTTTACCTGTACAGCAACTCCATCTCGGGCACCATCGCAGGCACGATCTGCGACAACAGCGTGCCATGCCCCTCCGGCTGCCCTACAAGCGTGTACGGCACGTCTCTGTGCGACGGCAACTACACGGGCACCGAGGTGAGTCTGACCAACGAAGGGCTGTCGGGGACGATCCCTCCGCAGCTGGGCGGCATCTCTCAGCTGACGAGGCTTAGTCTGGGCAGCAACTCCATCTCGGGCACTATCCCTGCGGCTACGGGCGAGCTCTCGCAGCTGAAGTATCTTCACCTGTACAGCAACTCCATCTCGGGCACTATCCCTTCGGATACGGGCAAGCTCTCGCAGCTGGATCACCTTTGGCTGAACGGCAACTCCATCTCGGGCACCATCCCTTCGGAGACGAGCAAGCTCTCGCAGCTGGAGTGGCTTGACCTGGCCAACAATGTCATCTCCGGAACCGTGCCGCCGCAGCTCAACAACCTGCCGCTGACGAACTGCGACCTGGGCGGCACCAACCACTTTGCCTGCCCCCTGCCCGCCCTTCCCGCTGCCTGCTCGGGCTTGTCCTCGCCGCCCTCGAGCTACCCTCCTGAGTGCAACTACTAATCCTGGGCAGGTTTGGCTGGCAAACAGTGAAGGAACAATAACATATTCTGCGCAGACCGCAAAAGACAAAAAATGATGCACACTGGCGTGTGTCAACGTGTCCGAGCGTCACCAGCTGCGATTTCTTTGCGAGTTGTTATCGCGCCTTAGTCTCCGACTCGCTGACGCAGCCTCCTCCGCCCGGCGTCGTCCTCTCACAGGCGTGGCGGGGAAAGTTTCTCACACTGCGCATGCTCCTCGACCGGCTCTTTGTCATCTACCGCGACAGCGTGGATGACAGCATGTCCGGCCCGCCCGTGCCGCTAGCCGTCCTAGAGGTGCTCGATTTCAACGAGAGGCTGCTAGGCTGCACGCGGGTCGTCCGGGTCGACCCACACTACGTGTGGAGCGCGCGGCATCCGGAAAAGGTAGAGCCGGTGGAGAGGCTGGTCGGCCGGACTTACAACTGCCTCGGGCAGGCATGCCAGCGCGTTTACGCGGCCTTCCACGGCACGGCCATCCGAACGGAGTTCATGAACCGGTTCGAGGTGTATCTGCGCAGCTCGGAGATCGACCCGGCCCTCCTCGGCGAGATAAGCTACGAGCGGCTCAGCCGGGGCGTAAGGTTGACCGAGTGGTGCTCTCCGGCGCTCGCGGCGGCCCGTGTGGAGAGCCTGGAGATTCCACCCCTCGTCACCCCGCAGCCCGCACGGCTCGGCGACCCATGGGAGGGGTGGATTCCCGTGGGCAGCGGGCGGCCGTACGTGCACAGCGGCACGCCTCATTACGAGGTCGAGCAGCTGCAGCGAGAGGCGCGCCGCATTGCGCTCGAGGTGCCGTCCGCTCGCTCACAGCCCACCCGAACACACAGGCATCTGACGGGCCGCCGCACGCGCCTTGGCCACAGGGGGGCTTCTTCGCACGCGAGCGGTCCCGCGACGCGCACAAGCGCTCCCACGCCGAGGCGAACCCGCTCGAGGAGGGCGAGCTGCGCGGGAAGAAGCGCCGCAACTCCTTCAAGGAGGTGGAGCCCGGCCGGCTGGTCTTCCTCAAGGACCACGTGCGCTCGCGCGGCCCCGCCCACGCGACGCACCCGCACGTCGTGGTCAGCTCCAGCCTGCAGCGCATCGGAGGGGTGCACGATGCGAGGAGGTGCGTGGTCCTGCGGCCCCTGCCCGAGGCGGCGGCGCTGCCCGAGGCGACGCACGCGGTGGTAGACACCGTCGGCCTGAAGGAGGACTTTGCGCGCACCTGGCGGGAGCACGTCGTCGCGCCCGGCTCGCTGCTCGAGGAGGCGATGCTCGAGGCGGTCGGGCTGCACCGGATGCGGACGACGCCGCCGCAGGGCATGAAGGGCGCGTGGAAGAGGCTCGCGCCCGGGATCCCGAATCCATGGATCATGCGTGGGAATCCGAGGGCGGGAGCCTAGAAGAGAGACATCACCCCGCTCGGAGGAAGGGTGCCCCTAAGGCTGGCGCGAGCCTCCCTCCATGCTCATTTGCCTGCTTGAGTCACCCCCACGTGCACTGGAGGCTTAGAGGCTCTAGCATCCTAAAGGGTGTGGACCGTGAGTTGAGGAAATCGAGGGACGCGAATGCCTTCGCCACAGACGGTCCCGCGCCTCGCCGCTATGTGTGTGTGTGTCGGCGTCAGAAAAATGGAGCTAAGCGAGGGTTGCGCAGCTATGAACAGGAGCGAGTCCGCGCTGCGCTCTAGGCTCAGACGGCGAGTTCAAAAACAGCAGAGTTCCTACACGAGGAAAGAAAAACCGTAGGTGGGCTAAGGCGATTGAGCCGATCGACACGGCACGTCACGGACTTGAGGGCTACGAGGGCTACACGAGCGAGTTTTATTTATGCTCGTGAATACCGAGAGTACTATGCCGACATGCCAGGTACGGTACACACGGTGGGGTCCGCGCAATGGCTCGACGAGCGCATCCGCCACCGCAAGCGGCGCTACAGGAGGCGCGACGAACGAGCCAGCGAAAGGGCAGCCTGGGAAGCGCCACCACTGGACGCCGAAGAATTCTTTTCCGTAGCTGTGTTCTCTCCGACTCACCGCGCCCTCCACAAGCACACAGGTAGCTTCGCCGCCCTGCCGCGCGCTCCCACGTCCGCCGAACCCACCTCGCGGTCGCGCCTGCAGTATTACCGCCCCACGCCGCCACGCCCGCCTGCCCTCGCGCTGGCGGGACACCCTCGCCAGTACGCTCGCGAGCACAGCGCGCACCAACACAATGCTGCACTGACAAGACTCGCCGCGCCACCCGACCCGCTGCGCCAGCCCCTCCCTCATCCCTGGCGACGCCTCTGGCGCCGCCTCCGACACCATCTCCCACGCCGCGCGCTGACGCGTCCATCTGCGGAAGCCGCATCTCACGCTTTGACGCCAACGTCTGTCCCTGTTTCTGTGCAGGCCATGTCGAAGGCTGAGGTCGATGCCGCGACGCGCGACTACATTGTGAAGCCGCGCCTCGAGTACCGCACTGTGCAGGGCGTCAACGGCCCTCTCGTCATCCTCGAGGCGCCGCACTTAGAGCCCTCAGAAAGGGGGGGGGGACGCTCTGTGCGCGCTCTCTCGCTGGCGCCGCCGCCGCCGACGCCGCTGCCGCCGCCGCCGCCGCCGCCACCACCACAGCCATTGCCGCCGCCCGACCGCCTCGATCGCCCGCCGGAGCTAAGCAGCGCCGCCCCACCGCGCTCATCCGCAGCGCCTCACCGCAAGCAGCCTGCGTCGCGCCGCCGCCTGCTCACGCCGCCGCCGCCTCTGCCCCGCTGCAGAACGTGCGCAACCCCAAGTTCGCCGAGATCGTCAACCTGACGCTCGCCGACGGCACCTCGCGCGCGGGCCAAGTGCTCGAGGTGCGGACACGTCCGCGACTCTTCCACTGCGGCTGCAGCGCCCACTCGCTGCCCAAGCCTCGCTACGCGCCGCCCAGACGCGCTCCAGCTCGCTGCGGCCGCGCGGCCTGGGTTCCCTCTCCAGCCTTGCCTGCCTGGCGCCTACCCGCCCGCTCGCCCCGTCTCCTCCAGGTCGCCGGCTCGAAGGCGGTGGTGCAGGTGTTCGAGGGCACCGCGGGCATCGACAACCAGCGGACGTCGATCGAGTTCACGGGCAACATCCTCACCACGCCCGTGTCGGAGGACATGCTCGGCCGCATCTTCAACGGCTCCGGCAAGCCCATCGACAAGGGCCCCGGCGTGCTCGCCGAGGAGTACCTCGACATCCAGGGCCAGCCCATCAACCCGCAGGTCCGCACCTACCCCGAGGAGATGATCCAGACGGGCATCTCGACCATCGACTGCATGAACTCGGTCGCGCGTGGGCAAAAGATCCCGCTCTTCTCCGCGGCCGGCCTGCCGCACAACGAGATCGCCGCGCAGATTTGCAGGCAGGCAGGCCTCGTCAAGCAGAGCACCAAGGGCACGACGTCCGACGACTCGGAGGAGTCGTTTGCCATCGTCTTTGCGGCGATGGGCACCGGCCGCAAGACGGGTGGGACCTGCGAGTGTGAGCAGCGTCTCTTCACACCCCCGCCCGTGAGCAGGCGTGAACATGGAGACGGCGCGCTTCTTCAAGCAGGACTTCGAGGAGAACGGCGCGCTCGAGCGCGTCACCCTCTTCCTCAACCTCGCCAACGACCCCACCATCGAGCGCATCATCACGCCCAGGCGTGACTCGCCTTTCGCCTCGCCACCTCGCCACCTCGCCCCCCCCCCCCCCCCCTCCCCCTAGCCTCCGTCCCTCGCCTCCCTCCCTCTCGTCCCCTCCCTCGCCAACTCCCTCGCCCCCCGCGCCCAGGATTGCGCTGACGACGGCAGAGTACCTCGCCTACGACAAGGACAAGCACGTGCTCGCTATCATGACCGACATGTCGTCGTACGCCGACGCGCTGCGCGAGGTGTCGGCCGCGCGCGAGGAGGTGCCCGGCCGGCGCGGCTACCCCGGCTACATGTACACCGACCTCTCCACCATCTACGAGCGCGCGGGCCGCGTCGAGGGCCGCAGCGGTTCCATCACGCAGTTCCCGATCCTGGTGAGAGACCAAGCGCCCGCCCCCACCACCACACACACACGGCCTCTCCGGCGCGCGACTCGACGGGCCGGTGCACGGAGCGGGAGGGGAGAGAGGGAGCCGGCCGCGCCTTCCGTCCTCTCCCCCGCTGCTCGGCTTGCGCGCCACCGCTGACCGGCTTGCGCGCCCCCGCAGACGATGCCCAACGACGACATCACGCACCCGATCCCCGACCTGACGGGCTACATCACCGAGGGGCAGATCTACGTCGACCGCGCGCTGCAGAACCGGCAGATCTACCCGCCGATCAACGTGCTGCCCTCGCTCTCGCGGCTTATGAAGTCCGCCATCGGCGAGGGCATGACGCGCAAGGACCACGGAGACGTGTCCAACCAGCTGTACGCCAACTACGCCATTGGCAAGGACGTGCAGGCCATGAAGGCGGTCGTCGGCGAGGAGGCCCTCTCGTCGGAGGATCACCTCTACCTCGAGTTTCTCGAAAAGTTCGAGGGCAAGTTTGTCAACCAGGTGCAGACACCTGCGAGACGCTCCCTCCGTCGCTGCCACCCAGCCCGCCGCCGCCTTGCCCACCGCCGCTACCCCCGCCGCCACCATCTCCACCACCACTTTCCCATCCGCCTCACTTCGCCTCCGCCGCTTCCCTCAGGGCGCGTATGAGAACCGCACCATCTTCGAGACGCTTGAGATCGCGTGGGGGCTGCTCCGCACCTTCCCAAAGGAGATGCTCAAGCGCATCCCCGAGAAGACGCTCAAGGTGTACTATGCTCGCAGCTCATGAGCTGCGAGCTAGGGCGGCGCGCGCGCTCTCTCGGGGCGAGAGGGTCGCCCGCGCCGGCCGTGGACCCGCCTGGCTCAGCGTTGGAGTCGATTCCGACGATCCCCTTGCCGCCCTGGTCCGGCTGCGCCGGGAGGTGCCAGAGGGGCGCGATTCCCCCGCTGCGCCGAGAGCCCACGCGCGCCGCCCGCGCCCGGCGTCGTATCGGGCCGCGCGCGTGATACTATACACTCCTCGTTTGTGCCCCGCAGCTTGGGCGCGCGAGCTCCGCGATGCTGTGGGCAGGGCCCTACCATTACGTTGCCATGTTGTTTGCGAGGAGCTTTAAAACACGATTTTTCGTTTTGGAGGTTTCGCTAAAGCCACGATGCGCGAATACGGGATCCCATATGCATATCCCAATCCCGCTACTACGGCGCTACGCGTACTGCTGGTCTGCATGTGCTGCTGCAGGCACACGGCACACTTACTTCCACTCTTCCACACAGCACACCGCACAGGCACACCCGACAGCGACACGCCCGTCACCGACGCCGCTCTCTGATTTCTCGACGCTCGAGACCTCGCGAGCAGGTGTAAAGCCGTACTGCCGATGACCGTCAGAGGAGAGAGGCCGGGATTTGAACCTCGTGTGTGATCGAAGCTGCCACGATGGGGCCGCGCGGCGCTTGCCGTGCCCGGGCGGCGGGCCGGGCGCTCAAGCTTCGCTTCTGCTCGTGCCACATCAACTCTTTGCACCTCGCCCAGGTAGTCGAGCATACCTCGCCGTTCGAACGCGCGGCGAAGAGGCCTAGGGTTAGGGCCAAGATTAGGGGTTGGGGTTCACGGTCGCACTCGCGGCGAAGAGCAAGAGGCCTTTTCCGCGCCTCGCCTCGCATGGGATCTGCAGGGCGGACAGGCTCAGAGTCGTTGTCGTCAGCAAGCATGGCGGGACCGGTCTCGTCCGCCGCACCCCAGTGGCGTCCCTCGCACAACACTAGGCACGAGACTGGCGCGCTCTGGCACGGACTGGCAGGTCAGGTACACAGCGGGAGCCGCCTCAGCGCAGCAGCGGTGCCGTCGCGAAGAACCTCTCCGCGTCGACGCCAATACGGGTGTAGTGCGGCGAGTTCGACCGCGACGATCCGCACCTCAACCCCTGGATGCCCCCGTTCCGGCAGTCATTGTGCCTCGACACGTTGCACGTCATTATCTTCCCCAACATGCCGCTGCCGATGTACGTAGTTCTCCGGCAGACGTGCACTCGGCGCATCGGGTCGCTGACTGAGCTGCTGCACTGCCCGGCGGTGAACAACTGTCGTTGATTGGTGCACCCCAGCCGGTGCGTGGCCTCCCACACTCCGGCCCAATACGCGCTGGGCCCTGTCTGCGAGACCACACAGCTGTGCGCGCCCCTGCACAAACCGGTGCGGTCCTGCGCCGGCTGGTTCAGCAGCGCCACCTGGCGCAGCACATTCGCCACCTGCCTATTCAGCCCTGCGACGATGATTGGGTGCCCGGGCTCGTACGCCAGGAACTCAAAGGACCAGGAGGGGCCCACGTAGGCGGAGTAGTGCGGCTCAATCACGCTGGAGAGCGGGCGAATGCACGAGCTGTCCAGGTCCGCGTAGACACCGCCCTCGTACTTGATCCATATCATGCGGAAGAGGTCGGCGCGCTGCGCACCATGCTTAAGCGATAGGTAGGCGCTGCTCTCGTTTTCCGACGCGCGCCGCGTCACGTAGTGGCGTGCGTGCGAGTCATTGAAAAATGCGTAAGCATAGTCGGGGTTGCGAGTCCACCAGCCTGCCATATACGCGCTGTACCTGCCCCGCGACGCCCACTCGAAGGTGGAGCCGACCTGCACAATATGTCGTGGGATCCGCTGCTGCATTTGCTGTGCCGGAGCCAGCCTCGCTGGCCGGTAGCCGGACGCCGCTGAGAGCCAGAAGGATGCGGTGCTGCGGCTGCCGTTGGCTCGCTGTGCCAGCGTCAAATTCTCGCCAGGGCGGGCCAGATCGTCGATGGCGCCGCCCTGGAGAATGCACGCCACGTCCGTCGTCGAGTGGCATCTCCGTCTAGCACGCAGGATGGCAGGCATGCAGCACTGAAACGGCCCGCCCGGCCGGCCCGAGCACCCGCGCCCGCCGCACGATCCGCACGAAGCGTTGCAGCAGACCTGGTTGGTCGGGTGAGGGATTCCGGACAGGCAGCCCCCCCGCGGGCTATGCACGAGTGCCATAGCAGATAAAAGGGGCCTCCGTCGTCTACGAGAGACACGAGAGCGGTGGCGGGGGGAAGCTCTCCCCAAACTCGAGGCAACGTCGACATCACGGTTAGTTCGACTCGACACACCTTGATCGGGCGTCCCTCCACAGGTGCGAAGTCGGCCTACAGCTGTGGACGTGCTCAGTGTTGAGCGGCCATGCCTATCGCTGGACTAGTGGGGGACCTGCCGCGGTACCCGCCTCTCTTCGTTCGGGCAGTGAGACCGTACACCAGGGCCTTCTGCTTACCCGCTAGGTAGGTGCCCCACCCAGCCAGCCGGCTGCCGCCGTTTTGCATCGCCGAGCGTGCGGATCCTGCGATGCACTTTTCCGTGGGTCAGCCATCTGTGCGAATGCGAGAGCGCGCCGGTGCAGCCTGCTCATGCAATAGAGCCCTATAGGAGCGCCCACCAGATGGACACCCCACGCTGCGCACCCGCGAGGACACTGTCATGGTTTTGCACATGCTGTGTGTGGTGACTGGTGTGCGAGCCGCGCTGGACATCAGATAGCTCTTATTCACGACCTGCAGCCACCCGACGCGGCGCCTGTGCGTTTACGATCCTTCGACTATCCCCACGGCGGCGTGTGAGCACGTCCCGCAGGCTGCGACGCGCCACGGACCATTGTACATCCCCCGACTTTCTCCAGTATTCAGCAGTATTGCAGTATTCAGTGCAGTATTCAGCAGTATTCATACCAAGACCGCAGCCATCCAACGCGGCGCCTTACGATCCTTCGACTACCCCCACGGGGTCGTTTGAGCCACGCCCCGCAGGCTGCGACGCGCCACGGACCACTCTACGTCCCCCGACTTTCTCCAGTATTCAGCAGCATTCAGCAGTATTCAGCAGTATTCGGCCATTTTCAGCAATATATCCCAGTATTGCGAATTACAAGCCAATAATGGGGCAAGCAAGCTGTGAATACATTGGGATATACTGCTGTACGTACGTACTTTTCTCTCTCTCTCTCTGCTGTATATTGCAATACATTGCGGAAGGATTGAGGTGCTTGGCGGCGCCGAGATATACTCCAATATATCCCAGTATTCGGCTGGAAGATGTTCCTCCAATATCTCCGTATATTGCGTAATAGTGCGCAATGTGGGAATATATTCCAGGGGTCCAATATATTCACAGCGGACTGCTATTTGTCAGTATTCTCCTGAGGACGGCGACTCCACGAAGGAGCACGCCTTCTACGCGTTATACGGCCAGCACGGCCGGAGACTCCTTTCACGGGAGAGAAAATTCAAAAAGGCCAAGCCCGCACCCTCGCAGTAAGACTCGCATGATCAAGCCTACCATCGAGCGCCCAAGCTCGGTCGCATCGGTGTCGTCGCCGTGCCGTTCGTGCTCACGTGGGCCGCTGCTCGCTGTCCTTCTGATATCTCTCGTCGTCACCAACGCAGAGGAGGGCGTGAGAAACCTGACAAACGTGTGGCCCACTGCTAACGGCCGGCCCTTGATCACCACTGCAGTCGTCTCTTCGACACCCTCAAACCTGCGCATCGCCTACTGCCTGGCGCTCGTCGGCGCGCCCACCATTGCGATGGCCGCACAGCACCTCGCCGCCATTTCTCTCCTGCGCCAAACCGGCACGAAGAAGGACGTGCTCAGCATGCAATCGCCCAACAGCATTCTGAGGCTCGGCGACGCGCTCAGGACTCTCGACACCAAGGTCGTCTTTGTCCCAAACGTCGAGGGCAAGTGCCGGACGTCCTCCTCAGCCGAACAGTCCAGATTCCGCTTCAGCTTCTCGTTCCACATCCTTCGAGTCTATGAGCAGACTCAGTACGACAAGATCCTCTACCTTGATGGCGACCTCGCAGTACGCACGCCCCCAGACCGCTTGGTGGAGGCATGGGCCCGCCAAGGAACGACGGAGCTGCGCACGCCCACGGGGTGCAACCGCGTCCCCGACCAGAAGCATTACAACACTGGCGTCTGGGGCATCACGCCCTCACGCGATTACGCCGCCAGATTGTATTCTTGGCTCGCGGCTGGCAAGTTCCCCTGTGGCATCGGCTCTCAAACGTGGGTGGAAACTTTCGGAGCGAACAACTCATGGACCAGGGCGTCGCTCGCGTGGAACCTCAAGGCCGACCAAGGCACGAGCAGGTGTATGCGGAAATGGGGCCTCAGGGAGGCCCACGTGGTGCACTGGTCCGGCAATAGAAAGCCCCTAGGCCTTCGTACGGCCGATCCCGTCGAGGCGAGAGCTCTCGCTGCGTATCAAGCGGCTCACCTGCGCTGGCTGACATTCTTGGACGCACCAGCCGTCGACAACATCCGGATCTGGCATAACCGCACCCGTACACAGCGCAGTGGGGCTACCAACCAGTCCGCGCTGAGCATGCCGCTGCCGCGGTGCAACGCCTCTGCACCCGATGTTGCGCCAAAGGCGTCGATGCGACAGCGGCTCTGCGCCAAACCGGAGGTGCGTGCGGCTCTCAGTGCCGCTTCTGTGCCGGTGCTCTGGAGCCGCGACCTCGTCCGCAGCCAGAAGAGGTTTATGAACGAGAAGCCGTTCGCCGCGAGCAAGTTTGAGCCGTTTATCGAGCAGCTTCCGCGAAATAGCCTCATGTCGTCGGCCTGGCCCGATGGGTGCGAGATGTGTGACACTTGCGCTGTGGTCGGGGCGGGTGGCTCGCTTCGCAAATTCGAACACGGCGCGCAGATTGACGGCCACTCGCTCGTCCTGCGGCCAAACTGGATCATCACCAAGGGCTATGAGAATAAGGTGGGGACGCGGACGAGTATCAACCTGTTCTTCGGCGTGGAGGGGATGATGGAGCAGTTTGAGAAGCATCAGCGCAGCTTGCCGGAGGAGCGACGTGCCATTGGCTTGATCACTTCCAACTCAGACCGCTCGGTGGCCTCCTTCTTCCGATACATGCACCGCGTACGCAAGTCGACTGTGCTCAACAAGACGGCCACCGCCGCGGAAACGCTCGTCACGCCGTCGCGCGTCTTCCTTACCACTGACGCTGTCTACCATAAGGCCCTCGCTGAGCTCTGCCGGGCGACGGGCGAGGGGTGCATGTGGCAGCGCACGTCCGGCACGATGCGGCCGAGCACAGGCTTCATCTCTGTGATCATCGCACTACAGATCTGCCGCAACGTCTCTCTCTTTGGTCTCACCGACGACCCGTGCCAGCCCTTTCACTACTATGGCGAGCCTAAGGCGACTTGCACCAAGGCGATCCCGACCAAGAACGATGAGCCGCTCCATTGGTTCGAGAAGGAGCACGAGATCTACGCCCGCTGGCACCGGGAGGGTAGGCTCACGGTGTACTCATGATCTCCCCTTGCGCTCGGTACAACTGTCTAACGTAAACGCCTTAGGGCTACCTTCGGGACTCCCCGAGACGCCACTGAGACTCTCTCTCGTGACTGTTAGAACTTAGAACTTAGCCAGTCGTCCGAGGTGGACACACCAGCCCTTGCGGCACCCTGACACGAGGTGGACACGAACGGACACGCCACACCCCACACGGAAAACTCATAAAATTTTCAATTGAGAGCGAGTTGACACATGACAGTTGTACACGAAATCAATGACGAAGAAGTTAATTTCCGTATTCGTCTTGGCAGGTCCCGACGTAGCAGCGATGATTTCGCGGGCAAACACCAAATTGAAAGGGAATGTCCGCAGTCTCGGCCGTGACAGTCACACTAGCCAGTCTGTGGCCACGGCGCGCGCGGCCTGCCTGTGAGACAGAGACAAGTGCAAGTCCCTGTGGGGTAATCACGCGTTCAAGACAACAGGGCTGTTGGTCCAGCGACGCTCCAGCGAGCGACTTCGCCCACTCAACGTGACGCCAGTCGAAGCCGCTCGCCTCGCCGTGCACCAACCACGCTCAAGAGCAAGCACACCGCCGCCATCAGGGCCTGCAGCGCCTGCCTTCGCCGCGGATGACTGGGCGCGTTTGGGCCTGTCAACTTCGACGCGGCGGAAAACACGAAGAAAGCCGGGTACAGCGCGTGAATTACGCCACGTGCCTCGGGAGCCCAACGATCGTAGCCGAGAAGCCGCCCGCCGCGCTCCAGGACCTCGTCCCACGCGGAGAAGCAGACTCGTCCCCATGCGTACACCTGGAGCGCCTCAAAGATCGCGTCGCTCGCAGGCATAAAGAACGAGGTGGTGTGGCGCCAGTCGAGCTGTTTCTCGGCGGCCTCTCTCGCGCGCGACGAGTTCTTTATATTATACCAAAAGGAGGGCACGACGCCCTCTACGCTGGGGTGCCGGCACGAGTTCTTTACCAGGTTGCAACCCTAGTCTCGCACTGCGCTGTGAACGCTGCTGGTTGGCACCCCGTCCCCATCCAGGTCGTTGGTTGCTGCCCCCAGGTCCCGCACTATGTAGTTAGTACAATGCCCCGTTCTCTGGATCATGCTTGTTGGGGTACGTGGTTCGCCCGTCCCTGTGTCCCGTCCACGTCGCCCGTCGGCAAAGCCGGACGACCTATGGTGCCGCTCGATGCTGCTGCGGCGTTGGCGATGGGGCTTTCTGTGCCACGCGGTCCCGGCGGGCAGGCGTGGTACTTCAGCCGCGCGGAACTTCCGCACTCCCTCCGTTTTCAAAAATCTCTCTCTCCCTCCCTCCTCAGTGAGCTACGACGTTCACAGCGCGAATTTGGCCCCAGCTCTTCGGCTCGCTCCGCTCGCCGGCGAGTTGGTTGGTTGCTGGCAGCACCCCAGCACCGGGGGGTCCTGAGAGCTGTTGGTTGGTGCTCTGTTCACAGCACAGTGCGAGACTAGGGTTGCAACCGGGTAAAGAACTCGCTCGCTGGGAAGCACCGTCCCAGCGCTCGGTCGGAAGAAAACGAAACTTTTTTGAAGGGAGATAGAAAGAGGCAGACGACAGGGGTCAGGGTGGGCGACGGCTAGCAGCGTAGCACCACACTCCTCTCCTTAAAAGCCCTCTGTGTGGTGGCGGCGCGTGCCGTCCTCCCATCCCTCCGTTGGGTTGCCGCGTTTCTTTCTTTCTTTCATCTCCCCGGCCGTGGAGGTGCGGCTGCTGACTGCCAGTGCCTTCTCTCCCCAAATTTTCAGGCTGAAATTTACGAAGGGCAAGTGGCTCCCTGCAGTGGTCAGTGCTCCGTCCGAGCGAGTCAGTCAGGAAGTGCGCGCTCGCACATAGTTGGTCTTGGATCAAACAGTGGCGCCCTTGGGCGGCGATATGTTCCATCCCTTCCCTACATGCACATGCACACTGCGCGCACCGGCCGGGTCGGATGGGCGTCGAGTGGCTGCATGCAATGGGGAACCCTACCTAGATCTAAAGCGCCGTGGTCCGTGTGGCCAACCGATCTTCCCTCCCTTACCTGAGGCGCGTGTGCCCCGCGGGCCGTGCCCTCTGCGGCCCCCGACGGGCCCGAGCATGGGCCCAAGGCGACGAGGGCTCGACAAACTCGCGGAGCTCGGCGGCGGCGGCGGCGGCGTCCTAAGGTAAGGAAAAGTATATGCGGCAACGCACCCACACGCACAAGGTGGTGTGGGCGTGGAGCAAGGGCCAGGCTGATCCCTCGCGACTCCGCAACGCTGTACAGATAGGAGCCCCATGCGGTGGTGGAGGGGGGGGGGGGGGGGCGGAACCTACATGGCGACGGAAAGAGATGTTCGATATGTCTTCTTGCGACGGCTATGCGGCGGGCGGGGGGGAGTTGGTTTGCCTCCAAGAGGCGCTTTTGCTCCTTCTTCATGCGGAGGATGGAGCGGCCCCGGACAACCCAAGCGATGCAAATGGCCCACCCAAGGATGGCCGCCCCCCCCCCGGCCGCAAGGGCGAGAGCCGTCTTTTCGACGACTATCGTGTGCTCGTCAGGCAGCGAGAGGTTGTGCAGTGCGAGCGGGAGGTCCTTGGAGGCCGTAAAGCGGCGGAGGCCTGAGCGGCCGAGGTCGTCGAGAGTCTCAAGCGCGCCCTTCAGGACCGCTGAGAAGGTTTGGGGCTGCGGCAGCCGTGGAGGCGGCGAGGGCGAGGGCGGAAGCGGCGGCGGCGTAGGCGGCGGCGTAGGCGGCGGCGGCGGATGGAACGGCGGCGGAGGGAGAGACGGCGGCAGAGGCGGCGCCGACGGCGGCGACGGAGGCGGAGTAGGCGGAGGCGGCGGCGGCGGCGGCGGGCGAGGCGGAGTCATTGGAGCCGGCGATGGCGGCGGCGTCCGAGGCGGAGTCGGGGGAGGCAGCGGCGTAGGTGGCGGCGCGGGCGGTGGGGGCGGCGAGCAGAGGCAGACAGTCCGAGCGAAGCTTTCGGACTCGCAGGTTAGCGACCGGCCGTTGCAGACGAAAGCGCCGCGGCATCCGTCGCCGACCCACATAAACCGCCGCAGGGTGCACCCGAACGTGCGACCGTGTTCGCAAGCGTGACTGCTCCATTGATCCCGTAGGGACACACGGCACTGCGGTGCCGACAGAGGCGTGTTTACGAGTGAGAGGATCAACATCGTGGTTGGGCCGCGGGGTTTTTTTCCCTTGCTGAGACGCCGTACCGGTACGGGTACATGGGCCGAAGTCACAGCGGGGACACTCGCTCCCGCACACACCACAGCCACGCAGTGCACTTCATTCACTGGGCGGCCACCCAAGTATAATAAAAAGAAACTCGGGTGTGCTATTTGCCCCTAAGAGGGAAACAAATGATCGCAGCGGGCGTCAGAAGAGTCGTCCTTGCGCGAGGAGAGCTCGATAAACTCGAGGGGCCAAAATATGCCGCCAGGAGGGCAGAGTTGCGCCGAAAGGCGGGAGAAGCCGCGAGAACAAGGGATCGGCAGGCGGCGGCATCGTCGCAGGACGAGGTGTGTGTGTGTGTGTGTCGAGATGTGAGGCGCTTGCGCCCAGGAGGGGAGGGCGCTGCGTAACGACGCTGCTAGAGATGCCTTTCGGGGCCCAGAGATAAAACTTCTGATGCCATGCGTGACCTAGTAGTGTCCCCAGCTATGGGCGTGTCCACGTTGGAGCCAGGTGTGGTGTGGGCGCGAGAATAGCTCCGCCGTTCATGGAGGCAACCGATGCGAGTCGACTGGTGTGTGTCGTCGTGGTTTCGTATCAAGAATACTCACTCACTCACGCAGGACGAGGCAGACGAGAGCGACGCGACAGAGGTCAGGAGGAAACGAGAGGAGGGAGAACGACGTGAGTGGGACGACCGCGAGGTGGCATGAAGGTTGCAGCGAGAATCGGCGAGGGACTGCGAAGGGAGATAGAAAGAGGCAGACGACCAAGGGTTAGGGTGGGCGACGGCTAGCACCACACTCCTCTCCTTAAAATCCCTGTGTGGTGGCGGCGTGCCGTCCTCCCATCCCTCCCTTGGCTGGTCTGTTTTCTTTCTTTCTTTCTAGGGAGTTTCTCCCTTGGGTTGTCTGTTTTCTTTCTTTCAGGGAATTTCCAGCCAGGTTTTGTGCGGAGGCGGGGTGCACTTGCTCTTGCAGTACTTGGACGGTCGGTAACCTCACATCCAGGGCCGGGGAGAGAGAGAGAGAGAGAGAGAGAGAGCGTCGTGGGGACGCTCTTCTGTTCAGTCGACGCTCGTCGTCCACTGAGAACTCAGTGGTTGTCACCACTTTGTATTCTTTAATATTAACCTTGCGAACTCGTCCCCCCCGGCAGGGCTATGCAACTGTGACCAGTGTGTGCTGTCTACGCCTGAACCAGGCGTCAAATCTGCCGATGCGTGATCTGTGTGTGGGCCGCTCTGTGAGGGGTCCAGGCATTGTCCGACGGGTAGGGGGTCTGTGCCCGGGCGGTGTCCGGTGCGGAGTCTCTCTCTGATCCCGCCTGTGGTGTTGGGTGCGAGGTCGTGGAAGCTTCGATCCCAAGGGGGGGAGCTGATCCCACTCGGTAACCAACTCTCAGGGGCAGTAGGTGGGCGGGCTTCAAGCGCGCTCATCTCGAACGACAAGGCGTCGCTACGCGCGGTCTTCCGCGGGGGGAGCTTCGTCGACGGGTGCGGGAGCGCAGCGCAGACAGTGCTGCGGCGATGCCTCCGGCTGTTTGCGGCGGGCGGCTTGCTGCTCGCGGCGATGGCGAAAAACTCGTCTCGTGGCACACCAAGGGCTTATGCTCTGTCGAGACGTGAGGCGTATGCGCCCAGGAGGGGAGGGCGCATGCGTAACGACGCTGCTAGAGATGCCTTTCGGGGCCCAGAGATAAAACTTCTGATGCCATGCGTGACCTAGTAGTGTCCCCAGCTATGGGCGTGTCCACGTTGGAGCCAGGTGTGGTGTGGACGCGAGAATAGCTCCGCCGTTCATGGAGGCAACCGATGCGAGTCGACTGGTGTGTGTCGTCGTGGTTTCGTATCAA